TTAAAACTAATAAAACAAGTTTTAAAAAGAGACTTTTCCATTTGATTACATTTTGTATGATGGATTATGTAGAAAAAGTAGAACTGGGCTGAAAGATCTATCGCTTTATCACCTCTTCAGGTTGTAAATCATGTTTTTAAAAAGTAACTAAGTAATTAATTACTTTTGAAAATAAGTAATCCGTAAAGTAACAGGATTACCTTTTGGGGGAAGTAATCAGTAATTAGTTACTGATTACTTTTTTCAAGTAACTTGACCAACGCTGGTTTTAACTTCCAATTTTCCAAATTTATCTGTATGAAAAAGTAACTCCCACCATAAAACCAAGGGAGAAAAGCATGTGTGAAAAAGCAACTTATAAATGAGCACAACTAAAAACCTGGTGAGCCATAAATCAGACGGGCAGACAGACCACATGCAAATGTGTTTATGTGCAGCTTGCTGACATCAGCAGCAGCTCTGGCCAAAACCCAAAAGCAGAGTTTTACTTCTCTCGTTTCATTACATACCAGGCTAGGCTTCACAAGTCCAAGGTGAGCAGTTGCAAGGGTACGAGCAGTAACCAGGTGTCGAGACGCTGAGAGAGAGCATGTGTGTGACTATTTTCTTCATCAACACCGTCTGAAATGTAGGCTGAAATATAGGGGACACATCGCTGGAGCTCTACTCTTTATGCACTAGACTTGTGGGACTGCAGGTCAAAGCTGCACCACATTAGAGCTGGACATCAAGGGTAAAGAGGATAAAGGGTTTTTTTTTTATACCCTAGAAAGCAAAGACCAGGCACACACAGCATCAAGCACATTTCTCCTTAGGCTAATTACCCCTGATGATGGGCTAACCCTGGGCATCCCACAGGGCACTGCTGCAGTTTGGGTTTTTTGTGAGGGAAAGGCTTAATTCATTTGGAAAAATAGAAACTGTATCCAATAATTACAGACTCAGCTGTCTGATCAAGTGTCAAATATTTGAACCTTAATGAAATACTATTACAATATTCTTGAAGACGACAGAACTGACATCATGCAGCAATATTCAGAGCCTTTGAAAAGCTGATAAGAGAATTAAATACACTCCTACATTTATCACACCTTTAAATCTATAAAATGAGTATTGTGTTATTTAAACCTTGGAGGCTGTGCTGTTCTCTTTGCAGCTCAACTGTGTGGTATCAGTTTGCCAGGAGCTAAAAGAGCCACGATTTAGAGAAAACCTGAAATTATTTGAAATAAATGTTTCCAATGTAAGGAAAATCACTGCTAATGACTTTAAAGATAAAAATTGTCTCCAATAAATAAAATAATAACAAAATAGCCTTACAGCATCTGCAGGTAATCTCGATGCATGCATCTACAATCAGAGAAATTTAACTGGAATGGGATTCATACCAGTGGAACAACTTTGCATTCCAAAAATTATGAACGTACAAAGACCGGGGATCTTGGAATATTTGTCCCTGAACAGACAAATCAAAGATAAAGCTGTACAAAGAGTGTGTGTGACAGCCACAGAGACTAGTATCCACTGACTAACATCTGCATGTCATCAGACGCTTGATGATCAAGCCACCTGCCGCAAAGTTCAATTGAACCTGAAGTGGAAGCTTTTAGTGGGATAATGATGCCAAGCACCAAAGATTGGCTCAGAAAGAGGAAATAATTATATGGAGTGGGCCAATCAAAGCCCAGATTTGATTTGATTACATATGGATGCAGAAAACTTTAAAATCACAACTCTGGAATCTTTTTGAATTTAATTTACATGGAGAATTGAAGAATTGAGACAAAACGGCTACAAAAGGTTATTTCAGCTCAAATGTGGCTCCTACATGGAATATTTAACCCAATACTATTATTTTTAATAAATGATATTAAAAATATCAAATCATTCTTGCAGTTGTGTTCAAATGCATTACCTTCATTTGCAATGTTCTTCCAAAGCTGATTGGAAGAACGCATCACAAGGTTCATAAAAATATCCGTGAGGTTCAAATTGCGTTCAAATACTACAGATCTATAAAAACAACTGAGACATCGCCGTGCTCCAACAAACTACAGCTTTTGTTTTTTGAAATGCTTCGGTAAACAAAACCCTGCACGCTGGTCCAGTTTGTACACTTTGTTTTTCTGTAATAAAGTAGGACTTAGTGAAATTCTTTCACTGCACTTTATTCAGGCTGGCCTATGGAAGTACATCTAATGAAAGTCCATGAATAATAGCTTCATTGTGCATTCATGTGGCGCTGGAATATTCCCATGAATTTTCTCAAGTAGACTAAACTACTTTTGGTAAGAGATGCAGCGATGTTGATGTCGTACACAAAACATGGCTACAAGCAGCTGATTTTTGCACACACGAACGCAAAGTGAAAAATCATCTTTCCAACTCGGGAAAACTCAAGTTATCCAAGAAAGAGTTTAACAGCAGAGGAAACATCAGCAGCTCAAGTTCGTTTATCTCTTTATAGTCTTGAGTAGTTTTTAATTTTGCAGTGAACCGTCCATTAAAACCATGAAACTCACAAGCTTCAGTGCATCAGTCAAGCAATCTAGTTGTGTAAGCTAAAGGTGCTAACTGCTAACCTGAAGGCTTCAGGAGGAGGAGTCAAAAACACATTGATCATGTTCATGTTTTATACACAGCATGATTAGAAGATTGCAAGGACCGTCAGAGGATAACACGGTATCCCCGTCAAAGTCAAAAAGCTAATTTTTAGTCCTTTGTGCTTCATCTTGCGATCTGAATGAAATCTTTGAATGAGCATTCAAAGAGAAGTCGATGCAATTTTCTGCACCTGCCAAAACACTGCTGATTCAGTGCACAGCTGGAGGAAACCCACTGAAAATGCATTTCTTTATGTCAAACAACTAAAAGCACAACGTGCTATAAACTCACACCAACTCGTCTGTGACGCCCGTTAACTGCTGAAGCCTAATCCTGTTTTCACTAGCAGCATGTAATCACTGCACACAGTTCAAAATCATTTGTAGTGCCACGATAAGACCAGTTTCAGCTGCGAGAAGAGCCGCTAACATGTCAGATAAAAACCAAGCACGCCGTCGCTCAGCCAAAGCTCCCTCACACATCATCCGTTTCCAGCAAAGATCCACAAACCAGAGAAGTGTCATGAAATCTTAATATTGACACTGCTTTTAAAACAAAACAACAAAAACACGACTCCTTTCAGGGAAAGACATTTCTGCTCGCGCACGCAGGCTAATGGAACCGTAAATATCGGAGGGGAAGCTTTATAAGGAGCTCAAAGAGCAGCCTTCTTATCTGCTGGAGCCAAACAGAGAGCTAGAATGACTACATGATTGAGCATGCCATAAATATTGTTTTCATTAAACTGAGCAGTGTGCTGAAACCCCACTCCCCCCAAAAAACAGTGGATACTTCAGAAATGCTTTCTTTACAAAAGGGGGAAGAGAGAAGAAAAAAAAAAGCAACTGGCTTATAAAGCAGCTCCCATCTACGTCCTTGCAGTGCCCCTAAAATGACAGTCGGGCAGTGTGAGGTGGCTGCTCTGTAGGGAAGCGCACTTCAAAGCAGGCCATTTCATCAGCGACCGTCAGCCTCAAGTGGAGCATGAGATAAAAAATAAAAAGGAAGGGGAGAAAGAAAAAGAAATCAATACTCTAGACCAGGCTTCTTCCTTCAAGCCTTGCGCTGCTCTTTGTGTTGGAACATTCAAGTCAGCACCTGAACTGTGCCCCAATTATACCTCAACCTCCTGCAGAAGAAACCTGAAAATAGATTAGCATTTTTTTTTTTTTAAACACATTTGAAGTTCAGCACTTTCAAATATTGTATCTAAACTACTCCAACCTCAGTACTACAGTGCAGTGAAAAGCTAAGAAGGTACAGCTACAGTGGCAACCCCTCCTCACACCCCAAAATTTCCAAAGTGAAGCAGTTGGGTGGGTTAAAAGTGTCGTCTCATGATCGTAAGGTTTCAGTAAAAGGTGGCCACTTTATTAGGTTCACTTTCAATTGCTTTAAAATGCACACGTTAACACAGCCTGCTAAAGTTTGATGCCAGACAGGTTGGTCTGGATATTTCAGAAACTGCTCTACTGGTTTCCCAACACCGCCATCTAAGGTTTAGAGAAATGTCCAAAAAGGAAAATATTGTAGTGGAGACCAGAAGAAAACAGCAAGACTGCTTTGCACTAATAGGAGGGCAACTACATCGAATAACCGCTCGTTACAACCAAGTTCTGCAGAAGAGCATCTGTGAATGAACATGTTGAATCTTGGAGCAGATTACTACAGTAGCAGGACACTGTCATCCCAGAACAGGAAACTGGGGCTACAACTCACACAAGCTTATACAGTTGGATGATAGAAGATTGTAAATGCGCGAGTCGGGGTCAGACTTGAACATGAAAGCATGGATCCATCCGGGCTTGCATGAGCAGTTCAGGCTGCTGCTGGACATTTTCGTGGCACAGCCCTTTGTACCAGTCGAGCTTGTTTGAGACGGTGGATGAACTGAGGCGCTGCACCAAGGACGAGTACTAAATAGGGAAGACTGAGCCGTTAATAACAGGTCCACTTTAAGGCTACTTCATTCCAAAATAAATCCTGTCCAATTTAATTTAGAAAAGATGAACCCTACCATTTCACTGCCAGTAAAGTTTGAGTCACCAGGCATTTAAACATTCTGCAAATCTATTTGGCTTTCTCGTGTACGTGGAGAGAATTACTACAGAAGCAGAGAGCATTAAAAGCCCGGAAATCTGCCCATCAGCAGGGAAGTGCATCATATCATTTAAACAAAGTTAAAAACTGCATATTGCTTTTTTTAAGGAAGCCTAAGTACTGAAACATTTGAGCAACTGTCAAGTGAAAAGCAAAGCAATTAGACTGGCTAGTTAATGGGGGGTCGTTTCCAGCTTAAAGCACAACAGTTTAAAACTAAACATTTCGGCATGTAGTTAATAAAACTCAGTTTCCTGTCAGACAGGAAACAGGAATGATCCAATCACAAAGCTTCATTGCCCTTCAACTTATTTATTGATGTACTGAACATGGAAAAATAAATAAATCCAAAAGTATCCAAACACAAAGTAAAGAACATGTACATCCTTTTAAATACTTAACAAAAAGATTCTATTCCAAAAATGCTGTGAACCAAGTCAGACTATACAACTTCAAATAAATAATCACTCTCATATTAAGAATTGAGAAAAGAGGGATGGGAGGAAACATTTCCTCATGCCAGACCTGCAGCACAATTTCCCAAAACCAAAAATAAATAAATAAATAAATAAAAAATAAAAGGAAAAAAATAAAATAAATAGAGAAAAAAAACAAAAAAAAACATCAAGCGGTTACATAAAGGAAAAACAAAACTTATTCTCAGCAGTGGCAGGTCAGGCATGACAAATGTTGTCTCTTCCCTACAGCAGCAAGTATCACAACTCATCTAGACTTAAAGTTTAACTTGTACAAGTAACACAAAGAAGGAATAGATAAACAAGAAAAAGCAGTTGCAAAGATAATTATATAATGCATAGCACACTGCTCGTTTAAGGGAAAGCATGACTAATAATCGGTTGAAATACCAAGCAGGATGCAGGTGCAGTATTCAGTGCATCTAAGGCTCAACCAGCCTCCATTCATGTGTTTGAGATGAGCTAGATGTTGACAAACTTCTGCAACCAACTTTGCTATTGTTAATGGAACTGCTTCACCGCCCTTCCCCAAAGTGAATAAAGCAATATACACCTTTTTACGATTTTAAAGACAGGTTATATGCATTACGTATATATTTATATATAGAGATATGAGTATGAAAAAAGTAATCAAATAGTTCAAAACTGTGGTTTATATCCATTCTTTACCACATAAATATATATCTATAATGTTTATATATAAAAAAAAAAAAAACCAAAACAAATGTCTATAGTTTCTTAATACCTTTTTTTTTTTAACGAAGCAAGACTATCTACAGACCTAACAACCAACAAATCTGATGCACTAATGCTAGTCCATAGGACGACAACTCAAGTATTTCAACTGAAGAGAAACTGAAAATAAAGACCCAAAAACAAAAAAAAGACCTTACACAGTCCTGAAAAGAAAGTTGTATATAATAACACTTTTCAATGAAGTCCAAACAAAAACCAAAGTCTGCCAAGTACTCAACATAAAAAAGGACTTATTTACACAGCTCAAAGCTCAGGAGGAACCCTTCTATTTGTCACGCTAGTTGTTTTTTGATGCTGCTGCCTTCACTGGCTTGTCTTCAATCTTTCATACAAAGTATGTAAAAACCCTCATTGGTTGATATTAAGACAAAAATCAGTCTAATGATATTGTAGATACACCACAAAACACCATGAGCTCCATCTGAAGGGAATCTTAGAGGAAGAACTGATTTTTCTTTTTTCCCTTTTTTTAAATCCCCCATTTACCTTTATGATATCTCCATGTTTTTAATTTTTCATGCACTTTTTGCAGATCAACCTTTGAAGTTTTGTCCGTTTCCAAATCAGACCGGAAAGCGAGTCGCTAGCCGTAACGACCAGACGACCGAGGGGAGGGGGGGGGGGGGGACCCACAGATGATTTTACAAATGAAACCAGCACTGCCACTGATTCTATAATCTAAAGGTAATACAAAGATCTCAAAAGGTATCTTTTACATCATAAATCTCTCCAGAAATTTCAACCACTGCAAACTTTCTTGTAAAGTTCAAAAGCTCACAAGGTGTCATATGAAGATATTTCTCAAAGTATCCAAGTCAAAATATTTTGTTCCAGGTCCAGTAAAAAGTTTCTCCAAATTTTTCTTTTTATAAAAATAGATGCTTTTAAACCCACATCAAAGAGGTTCTTAGCTCTTTGGCAAGGTACTGCTTTAAGAATCTTTTTTTTTGTCTTTTTATCTGTTAATTGTACAATAAGCAACATTATGCAGCCAACCAATAACCAACTGATATTACAGGAAACAGAATACTTACAAAATTAACAGAACCGCAAATAGTTCAACGCAAGTACTTGCTAACCACCGAAGGCATAAACGCACGTGTGGCAAATCAGGACACAGAAGTACAAAGAAAAATCACTACACATAACCTTACAAGACTTACTGTTTCAAAGCAGATGTGCAACAAAATGACAAAACCTAGAGTAACATTTTAGATGGTCCATCTGTAAAGACAGCAAGAGAAGTCAACATGACAGGCATCAAGACCTGCAGGTATTTTTCTGTTTTAAAGTATAGAGAAGATTCAAAGTGTAGCAATGGGAAAAAAGAGAAGGAAAAAAAAGAGATCACATTGTTGGACGCTAAATATCGTTTTTCTTCGCAACACTGATTTACAAAGCTCTTGTTACTAATGTAGAAAGTTACGGTCAATACGCTTCCATTTTCTGTTTCCATTTTCTGGTGAGTTTTCTAGAAACAATCTGAGTTTCAGGCTTTGTGTGTTTTGTTGGTTTTGAATGACACTTGCAGAACTCTGTCCCCAAGGCGGTATCCATTCAAGCTGGCGATGGCCACAGCTGCCTCGTCGTAATTAGTCATGGTGACAAAACCAAATCCTTTGCACTTGTTTGTGTTAAAGTCGCGGATAACCTTGACGTTTGTGACAGCACCAAACGGCCCGAACATCTGCCAAAGGATGCTTTCATCTGCGTCCGGAGCCAGGTTGTAGACGAAGATGCACCAGCCAGTGCCTGCGTGCCCCGGGATGTTGATGCCAGCCAAGCTGGTCACCCCATCAATGGCCATCGGGGAGAACCTGCTGTTAAAACACAAAAAGTAACATGGTTCAAGGCAAGAGCCAAAATGAGCACAAAACGGGCCATTTTATAAGACAGGAGATCGTACCAACAAGCCTAACAGAGTGTGACAAGGCAGGGATCAGCTCTACCCACACATTGACATCGTGAGCCATGGATGCTTCTATGGCCATATGGTGCTAGTGCCATTCTTTCATTTCAGGAATTACATAATCAGATTTTTCACAAAACACACTTCCTTCATCTTCTGCAGCAAGTCACCTGAGCAGCAACCCTCAGAATAAATGCACAGATTCAGTCCTCGAGCTACTCCCCACACATTTAGTTTGTAGCTTCACAACTGCAAAGGAAATTATTTCCTCCAAATCAAAAACTGGCAAATCATAAAGGGAAATAAATTCTATATAAATGCGGCAGTTGCCAAGAGCATAATAACGAGGCACAGAAAGGCTCTGGCCTTCGGTAAGTGTGCTTTTGCAGATTTAAGAAACAAAATTCAAAGTGCATGAAAAGCCTATGAATTATTGCAGCAGGTGTCACACAAGATTAGCTGCTCCACTTGGCCTCTCAGGGAACATCCACTATGACAGGTGTGCTCCCAGCATCAAGGACCCACAGAGAAATTTGGCAACCAAGACGTCAGCCAACGAGCACGGCAGAGGAGAAATCGCACGTCAATTGCTGCTGGTGACGGCTCTTTGAGCTTTCAGAGAACTGGACTTCAATCACACACGAGGAAGACATTCTTATAAAACTGAACTGAGACAAACTGGTATCCCGGCGAATCCTGAAAGACGTCTGACGCAACAAAGTTTAAAACAGGACAGGGCTGTCCATAATAGATCAAGGTAAGAGTGCAAAGCTCAATACAAACGTGCAATTTTGTGCAATAGCGATTAAGATTGTAAGAGTCTGCCCTTTGTTATGTAGACAAGCGGCGTAGACAGTGCTTTAATCTATCACATGTTGTGACATTAGCTCTAGATTAAAGCGCTCCACTGCATCACCAGCAGCTGATTTTATACAGTTTCCTTATTTCAGAGAACACGTTTAAAGGACAAATACCTAAACCCGTTTATGTTAAACACTGAGCATGGCCACTAAAGCAGTCACCTCCGTGTCCCCAAAGATACAGAGACTCTGCTTTGTTCAAACCATAAAGAGTCACCACATTTTGCCACAAACTGCACTTCAGATTCTCCAACATGGCAGCTGAGCAGACCACATGCTGCGCTTTAGTATTAACGCACTAAATACTCAATTAGATTAAAGGATATCGACCCGGTTGGCAACCTACAGACAACGCAGTCATGTTATTTATGCTTTAGAAATTGTAAACCAAACCAGAAACGATGCCACATCAGGCAGTAAGAGCGACTTAAATCAGATAAATTTAGCAGGTAGTTTTTGACATCCTCCGCTGGTCTAATACAATGGAGAGACCCTGCCCCTCCAGCCTATGCTCTCAGCATACACAGGTCTGCCTTTAGGCATCTGCAGCAGCTGTTCAATATTTACATCATGACTTACTGTGAAGACAAACAGCCTGATTCACCCACACCAACTGAATTGTGTGTATATTTGTTGTGGATGCACAGAAAAGCATTTGCTTTGAGCAGCAGTCTCATATTGAATCAGTGCCACTTTATGCAGTGTTAACTACCTACACAATGCTGCCATAGAGCTCATAGGAAATAAACAAAATGTATCCCATCAGCTCCCTCACGTTAGCTCGGAATTTCCCTCAAGGATCAATTAAGGCAGACTACAGAATCTAAAACAGAAAGTCAATTTACCTTTTGACTCCGTAGGCCATGTTCAGCAGATTGTCCAACCTTAAAAAAAGCAAAACACCAACAGACAAATTAATTTTATAAGAAAGAAACTTTTCAGGAAGCTGATGAGTTTTGACAGGATGACAAAGATGAGTAATGGGTCTGATACCACGATTAAAGTCTGCTGTTCCACTTAAATTTTCCCAGTCATCCTTCACAACACAGCCAACAGGAGACTTGCAGTTCATACAGAAAAAGGGTCAATTAGGCTGACAGGGTGGCAGCTTTAACAACCACTGACATCAATCAGCACACTGAAAATTAACACATTTTTTGGACTAACTTGCACAATTTGTTCATTCATTGCTCATCTCATTTCCACATTTGCCAAACATCTGTTTAAACCCGATTGTGTGGTAGGCCTACGTCTGCAACATGCCGCAAAGTCAAGAATGTAATAATGGGGATGATATATTCTGCCCAGAGTACCGACGAGCTCCGACACAGAATATTTTCACGATACTGCCAGTGAGACAATTTAAATGCTAATATCCAAAAACCTCAGAGGGTCAACAAAATCAGCTTCACTAGCAGCATTATACTTTTTTGGTGTCTCCTTTTACCTGAAGCGTTGTGCCTGCTGTGCGAGGGGTCCTGGGTACCTTCGATTGGGTGACTGATAGAGCTGGGACAGCAGCGCCTGGCTGGTCTTTTGGCTCGGGTTGTTTGCAAACTTGACTGTAATGGGTTCGGTGGCACCAGGCGGCTTCTGACAGTTCAGACCCTTGATGGCCTCCTCAGCCTCAACTCGCCGGTCAAAACGAATGAAGCCAACTCCTCTGGAAACACCTGAGAGAGCCCAGTAACTCCAGATTAGTCATACTGAGCTTCACCCGACTGTCAAAACATGACCTAATGATCAGCCTTTTAAGTAGACTCGTTTAATGCCAATATGCCTTTTTATTCCCCTCCAATATGACTTTACCATTTTACCCAGTAGTACAGTGAACTGCTTTCAAGGTCTGTCACTACACTGTAAAGTAATTTCTTACTCCAGTTTTAAAAGCATGACCTTACAGCATGCGTGACCACAAACATGTGCTTTTTTATATTTGTATGTATTAACAGTGAAGTGCGTTCCACGTCTGGAAATTCATTAAATAACACAACATACACACACAGGAGGAGGACATACATCAGCAGTGACATGTATTTATGGACATCTATGAAGTAAACTTTATATATAACTAGGCTGGTAGCAGTTTAACAGCTGTAATTTCTCTGTAAAGTGACATTTTACTGCCTGTTATTAGCAGCTGAACATTAGGAAAAAGCTACATTATGTTAGCACAGATGTAGAAAAACTGATGACGCAGGTACTTGGTCTTTGACACACTCTAGAGACACAAGCTAATTATTCATATTTAGTTATTCGTTTAACTCAGTGATTCCCAAAGTGTGGGTCGGGGCCCCCTGTTGGGTTGCAAATGTGCTGCAGGTGGGCCATAGTAATAAAATGCAGTTTGAAATCACTCAAGTATGTACAGTTATGTATTTACATAAATAAATTTAAATAAAAATGAATAAAAACTGGTAATATAAGCTGTTAGTTTGTGACAGTCTGACCTAAACTTACTGCACTTATACTGAAGTTTGTGTCACAGTGGCAGGTGAGTCACACATCAGCCTTAATCTTACATATGGTTGATTAGCAATTTATAGGCGACAGCACATTTAATTGGTTTAATAACACTTTCTCCTGTACATTGATTTGAGAGGATTTAAGTTGAGGTGGGCTCCATGTGATTTAATGGCTTTTAAGTGGGCTGCATCACTCTTGACTTGCTGCTTCAACTTATTTACCCTCTTAATGCCCTGTTGGGACACCAGTGCATGTCATTCCCCTCGGTCACATATGTGACTGCTGCCTGCCAATGAGCGCAGTCTTTGCCAGTATTGGTCAATCAGGCCAGCCTCCCATGTCATTTGTGTAAGAAGTTTTTGCTGCACATTTTGCTACTTTTACATTTTTAGCTCATTAACACATTTCTGGTTATTTCTATACATAAAAAAGTTGCAGGTTGCAGAAAGACTGAGCTGGGTTATTAATACTAAGGTAAGACCATTGAATCCTCAAGGAACAAGTGGTTTTATGTTTGAAAACTATGAAAACAGCCATTCCCATAACACACGCCAGAAGGAATAAGCTTCAGCAGTGGGACAGAACCACTGGGAAAGATTCTGTTTATCAGTGTTTCATAAGGCTTCTGCTTGACAGCTGAGGAAAGGAGAATATAACTGCTCTAAATGCATTTCATTTCTTGCCATAAAACAGGTATCGCATGTACACCTTGGGGATGGAAAGAGAAAAGGGAGTAAGTGCAGGCAGGAGGGAGAAATTATGACGCATCGAGTCCTGCTACTTTATACTCAATTTTATATTCCATCTATGCATATTTATGAGCACGTCTGGTGGAAAATTGCATTTTTGGGAACCTCGTAGCAACACCTCTGATGTATTTCTCAGTCCTGGTTGTGTCATTTTGCTGGCAGTCAGGAGGGAAATGGGAGGATGGGCGTGACAGAGTGAAGATGGAACAAAGACGAGGGGAAGCTGTCATGCTGTACTCACCAGTCACCTGGTCCACCAGAATGCGTGAGGTAATAATGCGTCCGTACTGAGAGAAGAGCTGCTCCAGTTCCTTCTGAGTCATAGTTTTTGGCAGGCCACTGACGTATAAATTTGCATCTCTGATGGAGGCGGAGCTTGGACGCGCATAGGAAACCTACAAGTGGAAACAGTTGTTGACCTCAGTATATTACAGCCAGTTTACGCACAAGCAGGTTAGACCATCCATCACCTTTGATTCTTATCTCCGAACAGAGGCTGTAACGGAGTCATAGCGGAGAGAATATAAACTAACTCACGTGTGAGTGAACTTGCAGGCCACACACAGAACTGCATCACATGATAAACTAAATACACCGTCTTCTGTAGACTACATTACTGTGTAGGGCATCTCCTAACATCATAGCCAGCAGACATCAAGCCTGCCAGTGTTTGTAAAACCATCTGTATTCCAACTTTAACCATCACGTGATAACACAGTGAGACCACAAACCAGACATTCAATACAGACCGTCGGCTACGTTTGAAAATGTCCCAAAATGAGCTCAACTTTTCCCATCCTTAACCCGAGGGACCCCATTAATGCAGGTGAAAGGAAATCAGGGCTTTGCAAAAAAAAAAAGAAAAAGGAAAAAAAGAAGTGGTGTACACAAACTGCAGTGACTCGATGTGTTTGTAACATATTAGTTAATATAAAGGATGTAAGTGTTAGCAGCTGGGTTTTAGCAACATTAGGGTGGTGCATTGCCGGTTTCTGCTGCTGTCTTCCTCAGTGCAAACCTAAACACTAAAACATTTTTATTATTATTAATTGGACACTGACAAACCAGCCTGTCCACAAAGAGTTTAACCTGTCACATTTTGTCCCTCAACTCCCTGACAATTTAAACGTCAGGCCCATCAAGAAAGCTCATCTTTCAAAATAAAACAAAATTTTAAAAAACCCCAAAGTGTTAAAAATCGCTCTACACAGCAACGTGGCTGCCTCTTTACCTTCATCTGAACTACTCTAGAGGTTTTGTTGCCTCTGAATTCAGATTACATCAGAAAAATCTCCAGCAATAGGCTAGAATAAATATGGGGCGCAAACAAACATCCATCCAGAAACCCAGACAAGTAATAGCAAAGAGAGGTAGACTCAATCCTCTACCAGGTCATGTGGATCAATACATCATTACACCCCTCAGCAGTCAAATTCATTTTTCTCCATGCACCATCTCATTTTCTATGAGTCTGTGGTGGCCAGTGCGATCCTCTATGCTGTTGCATGCTGGGGGAGCAGGCTGAGGGTCGCAGATGCCAACAGACTTAATAAACTGATCCGTAAGGCCAGCAATGTTGTGGGGATGGAGCTGGACTCCCTCAAGGTGGTGTCGGAGAGGCGGATGCTGTCCAAGATAAAGACAATGTTGGATAACACCTCCCACCCACTCCATGACATGCTGGTCAGTCACAGGAGCTCGTTCAGTGAGAGACTGAGATTACCGAAAAGCACCACTGAACGACACAGGAAATCATTCCTGCCTGTGGCCATCTCCCTGTACAACGCATCCACTTAACACACTGTTTGCTGCTACAGCTACACATGTTTCTTTTCCAGCTATTTATTTATGAGTGACTTATGTATGTATGTATATATATGTATATATTGTACTATTCTTAGTTAGTGTATTGTCTGTCTTGTCTTAATGTTGGTTTAAAATGGAGCACTGTAACAAAAAATAATTTCCCCCAGGGATCAATAAAGTATTCTGATTCTGATTTTCGGTTATGTCGAGATTTGTCTGATAATCTGCAGGAACCAAAGCAGCCGAAATTTTCAGAGCTGATGTGATAAGAAGTGTTGGAGGATGGTTTTGTGGAAGAGAATTGAGAGAATCAGACAAAGAAAGAACAGAGTGTGTGAGTGTGTTCCCCCTAGCGTCACACTCATCTTTATTCCTCTGCCATCATTTTATGGGAATAAATAAAGGTCAAGTGACCACACCTCAAAATCTGCCGTGTACCACCGGTGAAGAGTAGAGTGATAACAGTAAAAGCTAAAGCCCCCTGCCCAGCCTCCTCCATAGTCTAACCTTCACACTTTATTTAATGCTAATATTTGCAAAGTATATTCCCCCACTTCACTGGGTTTATTTGCACTTCTGACAGGGCAGCTAGAGAGTTTCGGATGTGTGATGCATAAGGCAATGTTACCATGTTCTACTTTCAGGGGTATGAACTGAGACAGGCAGCGACATGAGAAAGATGGGCTCCGATTTGTGGAATTGAAGCGGTATGGCTCACAACACTACATCTTCCGCTGTCATGACATGCCACATCTGCACAATATTGAAGTGTTAAAAACAGAAATAATCAAGCGTACAGCTTACAAATTTGGTGCTATTCAAACATCAATTTTCTATTACAAAATATGTTTTTGCCCACAGAAATTCTCTAATAGCTTTCTGCCTGATATGAGAAGGCTAGCTCCTCGTAAGGCCAGCACAAAAAAAAGAAAAAAAAAGTATCACATCTAATAATCTGACTCCACCATCCACAAATCCTGCAGCACTATATGAAGCAAATGAGTTTCTCCACCAGCACATTGAGTGCTACATTGCCTGATGAATGCTAATGGCAGCCACCTCCCTGTAAAGACATACAGCAGTGCTACAGCACATGCAACCATAGAAACAGTTCTGCTCTACTAGAGGCCCAAGCAAAGCCGCCTGTGCCCAGATTAACAATAGGCTCCCTTTACACCCCACACTGCTCCAGCCTCATTATGTCTCGACTCCAACCTACAGAGCCAGACATAACCGGTAAGACATTTTTATTTATTTTTTCAAACCTGTCAAAAAGGATAACATATGATGTCTTACCTTGATGGTTTTGGTCTGAAGTCTCAAGCCATTTAAGGTATTGATGGCCTTTTCTGCATCCTTTGGGTCCACATAATTCACAAATCCATAGCCTAGGCTCTGCCCTGCAATCACAATATAAATAAAATTAATGTGACATGAAATTTAAGACAAATGTGTGCAAAAACAGGTCTTTTTAGAATCAGCAGAATTAGCATAAATGTGGTTTTACCCCCTCCCCAAACAATCTCATATCTGGCACAGCACAGAGGTCAAACCATTTCCTACAAATCTCAGGAAATTTACCACAGGTTGTAAACAAACTAAACACGCTCTTTGACAAACAGGTTTTAAATTAAAAATGACAAGCAATTGCTCTGCTTTCACACCAACTCATCTACGACAGAGCGAAGTAGCCGAGGCTCAATGTCTTCCCCTCCCGCTGCAGTTTATCTCTAAAATGTACAATAGATTGACACCCACTCACTATGTGCACAGAGGCAATTCAATTTCCTCCACCCACATCCTGGGTTTCTCTGCAATTTCACTGCCGGTCAAGTTCACCATCTCGAGCAGTTTCACCATATTAATGCAGCACATATATAAACAAGCTGAATAGTATCGGAAAGTTTTGGGAAATTAAAAATAATTTAAATCTCTGACAGTGAGGCTCATGACACCATTAACCTGCACTTTGATTAGTTATATTAAAGCAATGATTGCGGCAGAAGTTCTTCCTGCAGTAGCAGATTTTTTCTCTTCAATATAGACTTTTCTCCATCTCTCAGGTGCCCCTAATTAAATGCACGTAAGACTTTCTATTCTTTCAGTGATATATTAACTCACTCCATGCTTCAAACTGCCAAAAATATATACATTTTTTCCTACCGCCCAAAAAAGCTCTCATTGAGACATTTATGTCTAGTACACAATACTGTAACAGACACCGTCACATCTGTGCACCACTGCACAGGTGATAAGCGGAATTTAAAGTAATCTGTCAATTTAAATTTTAGATATTAAATGACTGTCCCCATTCATGCAAGTATTTTGTAATGAGAATGGACACATTTATCTCAGCATTTATCTGGTGATGCTTTCTTGCACCAGTAAGTTGTCCTTGTTGATGCATCGCTACAGTGAATAGCTGTATGAACCCATTCCTTACTACTCTGCACGGTTCAAGGACTGAAATCCCACTGCTGGTTAGTTATAGGATTATTACTGTTATGATATTAAGATATTTAGTCATATAATCAAGCATAACAATTTAATAATAAATGCATTTTCAACTGATAAATGTCCCTGATCTTTGGGTTTCTGTGTTGCACCTAAACAGGCTGAACTGTAACTCAGAGCACACTAAATTTTGTTTACAATAATTAAACATCCAACTATGAAATATCTCGAGACTGCTTTTCTACGCAGCTGAACTCCCTATATACTCCCATACCGCTTTTAATCCATCTCACTGCTTGATCACAGCAGAACAAGCAGTGACTCACCAAGTTCATAAACTTAATTTCACCTCCAGGTCAGGGAACATTATCGCCAGGAGAAATATGCCAAGTCTTTGAAATGAGCTGGTGAAATGAAACATCTACTTGAGCCCTGAGGGCAAAATGCTTGCTGTACAATGTTCCCCTACAGACGCTCTATACGAGCACGCAAAGCTTTTGTGACACCTTCCTATGGAGTGTCTAACATCCATCGCATCCACTGTAAAGACAAGAGGCCCTTTAACAAACAACTTGTTGGCTTTCAGCTGTCATTAAAGGAGCAGCAGAGACATGCTGAGAAGCACTTTCAGAGAGCTGCACCCAGCTTCCAGTACAGACCTACTGCTATCCATAGTGGGAGGAAAATGACACAGACTAAGCTGCTTTCTGCAGCAGCAGCCAAAGCGTGAACATTTAAAGCAAAGAGGAAGCATGCATCTCTCTCTGGTGATTACTCAACATCTGATGTAGCAGCAGCGCACAGATGTAGGCTGGCTTAAATCCAATGCCAAAGGGCCAAGGGAGAGACAAAAGCAACAGAGTCTGGAGGGGATATGAGAATCATTCCTGAGAAACAACCGAGGTTCTGAATAACATTAAGGGTATTTTATTAAGCACCAATTCAAGCTCCCTTAAAGGGGTAAAAAGCACTACTTTAAAAGCTTATTTTCAAATCAAAAGTGCAGCTTCTATATTAAATTTAACTTGTACATTGATAGAAACTAGAGCTCAATAGTGGGGATTAATGCCCTTTTCAGAGCTTTAATTTGCTTAAGGCAGGGCTGTTTATGCTAATGCACACAGTTACCTATAATTTACCTTCCTTAAGCATGCTCTTTGACATGCATCTTCTGCCAGCTGGAGAGCCAAGAATTCACCGTCTCCAGCTGGCTGCATTTCTACTTCAACAAAAATAAATATAATTACAAAATAGCCACACTGATCTTTTAGAGTTTGCAGCAACAGACTTCATCTAAGCACTGATTCACTAAAGAGCCTGCTGCAACTGTCACTCAGTTTTATTCATAGTGACAATCACAACGGTCGCCTCAAAACACTTTGTGTTTCAAGGTAAAAACCCTGCAATGTTAAAGAGTGAGAATCCTAACAAGTTCCCCATGAGCCAAAACCTGATGATGGTAGGGTGAAAAAGCTGGAGAAACCAGTTTAAGGGAGATTGGAAAGGAGAGGAGAGGACCACACAGCACAGAGAGACGAGCACAACAAGCACTGGAGAAGGAAGACAAAGTAGTGTCATGTAAACGCAGAGGGAGTGAAGAGAGGCGGGTGAAGGAGAAACACTGAGTGCATCGTGAGAAATCCCCCAGCAGCCTGAACCTATAGCAGCTTAACTATGGATGCAATGGTTCAGGGTCAAATGAAACATCCTTAACTGAAAGTTTTATGAAAAAGGAAAGTTTGAAGCCCAATCTTAAAAGCAGAGAGAGGGAGCGTGTCTCCTGAATCCAAATGGGAGCTGGTTCCATATACAGGCTCTGCCTCCCATTGTACTTGAGGAAAACTGAGAACCACAAGTGAGTCACCGTGCTTCCATCTCAGTCGAGTCCCACCATAGAAGAAGAAAAATAAATCTCTCCAAGATACACCTGTACATGCTATGGTTAAATGCATGTAGTGTTTACTTCAGGTTATATTGGTAAACATGTAAAAAAGTCCTGTCCCGGCACAGTACCGTGTTGAACTCCCTCAGCAACCTAAATCCATAAATACAACTCAAGCCGGTGCAACACATTTCCTTTAATAACATGTTTTTAAATCTCTGTAGTAAATGTTGTGAACTGTACTGAATATTACACTGAGGTCGAAGGAGGACAAAGACTAGAACACCATCAGACAATCATCCATCTGTGCTGCTTTGCACTCTGACTCGAAATCATTGCTCTGCAGATGATCACTCAGCTGTTTTACGTGTTTAAAAATGAAGCAAGGCTGGAGATCAGTCTATAGTTAGCTGGATCAAGCAAGGGTTTTAATTGTTTAATTACAGCTACCTGAAAAGGCTGTGCTAATTAGTGTTTTAAAGGTAAACTGACCATATTTAAAAACCACAGCATTAGCTAATGGCAAGACTTCTTTGAACAGAGTCTAATAAGCATGTCAAAAGTTTGGAAGAGGCACTTTAGTCTGTTCAGAGAAATCAAGTTCTGTTATCTTTTAACGTCAAAATTCAAACTATATGCAAGGATTCAGTGTACTTAATGGACACAGAACGTCTATTTGTACAAAATATTTCACTCTCACACACACACACACACACACACACACACACACACCTAGTGGAAAAGATATAAAAACCAACATTTAAGAGCGCAAATCATCAAGCTCAAAGCACCTGGATCAAGACTAACGTCTATTTATGTCTTGTTTGAAGTGAAAATTACCCATACTAAAAGAAAAGACGAGGCAACATACAGGTTCATGTCTTGTCACCCAAAACAAAACTCGTCCACAGAGCGCTTCTATCGTTTCCTGAATCAAAGCCTACATTTCAGCTGCGGCATGCATGAATCAGGACCTCGTAGTACTTAAATTGTTTTCACACAGGGGCAGGCTGATTTCAAACAACACGTTTCATTTAGTGCCTCGCTCGGAAAATTAGTTTGAGTGTTGCGTTCACACTAGCTCGCCTAAATATGCAACCTATCAAACGTTGTTTATGTTCAATCACCCAAGTAGGCTGTGCTGTACACTGATTTTAAACAGGGATCACTTGTCAAGTCAACGCAACCCATTTCACACATTATTAAATACATTTATTTTATGCATGGCTACACGAGGGCATTTATCCCAGGCAAGACTAATAATTTTTCATCATCACTGCATGTAAATAGTTTAAATTCAATAAATAAATAATAAGACCCCCCCCTCCGTCTTCTATGCCCACAAGTACCATCCTGGGTTTGTGGTCTACTCTTTGCTATCATTTGTTTACACCAATGAAATATAACCTCTCTGATTTAAACATCTGTTGTGGCAGTCCAAAGAATCGGCTCTACAAATACAGCTATAACAGAAATGCTTTTTAGAGAAAGCATAAGAGAATGCAGCTGGTGTAGTTGGAGGCAGCGAGAGACAATTTAGCTCGACATAGTATGAGGATTTGACAGCATTTTTAAAAGTGAAGCAGTAACTTTTGGGAATAGTAGCAACCCTGCAAAGACAGACCTGTGAATAATGATCAGGTATACACAGGAACTGAAATATTAACATGAATATTTCAAAGTGGGTGGGTGTACAGTTGACATGTTAATTTAATGTAGGTCAGAGTCACAGGATCTAAAGTCACTGCATCCCTCAGCCACCCCTCTCTCAGCCTCAAGCATCATTTCAAGGAAAAGCTCTGCTCGCTCTCTCCGCTGACTGTTGATTCAGAAGAAAATGCAAACAAAACAAATGGATTTTCATCTCAGGCAGAGAGACAGGCTGAAAGGTCTCCATAACCTTAACCACAAACAGCTAGTAGTGAGAATCCTGCAGCCTCGACCATTATCTAGCTGCTCATGTCACATAGACCGTGTCACTGTGTCTCTGCCAGCTGCATTCCTCCCATTAAAAACCTGAAATCATTTGCAAATTGCCCACCTACCCAAATACTGTACACTGAACAGGATGTTCCCACAGGGAGTTTTCTGAAAATGCCATTTCCCTACTGGCTCTAGTAGAAACCAACACATCAAAGCAGTTACAGGAACACTTTAACTGTACTTCAGGCCTCGATGAATGACAGCGAGGTTGAAAATCTTTAATGACACTGTGCAATTTTTTTTAAATGACACAACTGTCAGTGGAACGCAAAAAACAACCCTTTGAGCACCGGATTCAAAAATGAATGTTAATATTGCTCAAATGTTCCCTTTTTGCCGACTGTATAATCAAACAGTATGTATGCTCAATGATTTTCAGAATTAAGGTCTTTCTTTGTTGGTGTCTATTTTAAAAAGAAGGGGAAAAACTCACTGTGCATGCAACACAAAAGCCTACGGCACAAACAGGCCGACCATTTGTTCAAAATCTATATTAACCTGAAAAGAAAATCTAAATAGTCTAAATAGAAAAAATGCACCAATGCAAAAAAACAACAAAATAATAATGCACACATAGGTGGTTCTGCAATCATTAACCAGCGTAAGCAATGCAAACAGTTGTTACCTGTGATTTTGTCTCGAACTAGTTTACAGGACTCAATTTCTCCGATGCTCCCAAACAAACTCTTCAGTTCCTCCTGGGTCATGTTCTGAGGCAGATAGTTGACTATCAAGTTAGTTTTACTGTCCTCTACGCTCCCTGACTCTACAGGTGAAGAGCAGTTGTTTGTGATAGTTGAAGGACCGTTGCTTGTGTTGTTGCAAGTGGGCCCATTGGATAGCTGTGTTTCCATGGCAGCAATTACCTGCTAAAGAGACAGAAAGAAAAAAAAATCAAAACTAAATGCAAATGAAACAAAAAGCATCATAAAACCAGCAGTTAAAAAAGGACGCTCTTCACACAGTAAACACTGTTTCAGTGGAATAACAACCACTGGTGAAATTTAAAGATTAAAGAAAAAAAACAGTGGTAATCATTTAATGCAGCACAGCATTACAGGTAATTAACCCAACAAAAATAAAATAAAGAAACCCCACACTGCAAGCTGTCAATGTCAAGAGTTTGCCACCACAGAAGAAACTGAGTACAGGTTTTAATCATGTCAATTTAACTTTAGCTCAGGTATGAGGACAAATGTTAGATTTTAGCAATATAACCACCAAAAATACTGGAAGTTGAGATTGGACCCCTCCATATTTGTTTAATTACTCTGATATTTGTTATTGTTGCTTTTATGAGAAAACAGGAGACGCCCTGTGCAATAAGGCAATCTATTAATCTGCCATATGCACAACAACTGAGGTGAGAATATTAAAAATTATCTTTCCAGGATTTTAAACTTCCTACTGCAGTAGCAACATTTCATTCACCAAAATTAGAAAATGCCAAGCCTACAGAAGCCCAAAACCTGCAGCCATCAGTACGCTAGCATCGGGGAACAGGCCGAAACGATGCGTAATCAGTTAAGGCAACCAGCAGCACGTTAATGTATGAAGAGTCATCCTTAATTAACAGATTCACCAGAAAGCAGAGCAATGTAGTCACACCACTATTATTCTCACTTTAAATTATCGTCACACAGAGTACAAGGCTATAATTTTAAAAGCAGTGATGCTATAAGTTAAATACAGAGTAGACAGGGGCAGTAGAGAGTTTTAGACCATACCAATACAGTGAGACATTAAGCATGGGAGCTTTTCATACAAACTGCAAAAAGGTGCCTACATTTAATACGTAAATTGATTTAGATTCAATGTTATAATACAAGAACTATCATTGGTATGGCCTGAGCACTGAGACAAAGAGCCCTTCTGGACAAATAATTTCCAAAAATAAAAATAAAAGTGCCACAGACCCCAGTCCAAGGCTCAGGCGCCCACGAACCACTTCTAAGCAGAGAAGCCACATCGCACAGTCTGACTGCCATGTTAGTTTGGAGTTGCCGTCTGAAAATGTGGACACAAAAAGTACTTCATGTTAGATCAACAACAACAAAAGCAACAGTCAGAGATGATCACATGTCAGCGTTTGGGGGGGTAAAAAGGAGGCCATTTTTCTCCCTCCCCTTTTTTCGAACTGGCTGTCCATGCAGATTGGTGAAAACCAAGAAGAAGCAAAAGGCAATGTTTCACTTGGTCACAATTCATCTACAGTAAGGAGAGAAAAGCAAAACCGAGAAGTGTAGAGTGTTCAGTCTACAGAGCAACCTGGCCACAACGGGGACAATAAGCATGAGGAATGGGAATTTGTATAATGGATGAGTGCGCTATACAAAGATGCTCACCAAGACCGCAAAGCACAAGTTAATTTGTCTAAGACTGCTAAGCCAACACATTCCTGCATTTTTTTAAAAAACTCCAGGCACACATAAGTAATAAAAGTGGAAACATCCAGGGTGAAATAATCTACATGTTTACTTTGTCTTAACATACCTGTTCTTAAAAAGTAGTTCATCAAGGTGACATGCAGAGCCCAAATGCGTAGTAGCGCATTCAAAAGACTGACTAACAGTGCGGCAAAGACACTTACAACTAAAAATTAAAGACAAATGAGGCAAAAACAATCCAAGCCACAGAAGTTACATTTTAAAGTCCATCAAGACACAGTATGCCAAATATCAGCAACACATGTGGCCATGTGACCCATGTCTACATTCCTATATACATACACACACACACACACACACACACACACAATATTTAGACACAAAAGCTCCAATAATAATGTGCATAATACAACAATCCAACAAGACATTTATAGCAGTGTAAACTGACTTTAGTTTAATTCACACCATTAAAAATACCTCTGTTAGCATCAAAGATCACACATTTACAGCGGGGCCACCTCTGATAACTTTACAGGCCACAAAGCTGCATAAGGACATTTTTCCATGTTGTGTATAATATGGTAAAATATTGTGAAATTAAAGTTGGAGACAACAGATTCTTTTGGCTAATTTTGAAAAACATTAAGTAAACGTAACAGATGACAGCTCCTCATTCGTGAATTTGTTTGTTGCATCAAATGAAAATCGGCCTGCGAGCATTCTCATGCCAATTGATTTTCTCCACTCATGCAATGAAAATAGTGCTGCGATTGTCACAAACTAATCCAATTTCTTAGTGGCGAGCTTGTGAAGCCACACGTCAATATGCCATTAGTGTTTCACCATACTTCTAAGCATGAACTCAGTCTACAATTTAATGTCCAAATTTTGTAGTAAAGTTAATATATTAAATCTTACTTTTTCATGTGTCCTTTTATAATAAAATGCATATTATTCATGTAAACAGCTGCTTTTAAGAACTATTGGCATCTTTAATGTTTCTTTTTGCCTCAACACTGCCACAACACTGAGCTGAAGGGAATAGCTGTGTCACATGATCAGTGTTGAAGTAGAATAAGGTGATGATTCACCCTATAAAACTGCTTATGGCTTATAATTACAGCTCCTTTAGTCCTTTCTGCTCTGGTTTTCTGATATGTAGATAGCCATCCATCAGTGTCACAAGAGTTTGGTATATGCACAGGGTGCCGAGATGATGGAGGGGGAAATTAAATATTCGTTTAAGAGTAGTAGTTAGGAAGGGTTTATATCATCCACAATGTACTTCTATTTGCACAAGAGACAGAATACCCATGCAACAATGCAACACCTGTCCAAATGATGTGTATTATTGTTCACTGCCCTAAATGACTTTGAAGGTCTGGTTATTACAGCATCTTCTGATGTAGAAATGGTCTGAATATTATTAATTATCCTACCAGCTAATGAGCTAGATTACAGTAAACAAACTTTTTATTTTTTTAAACCGGTGTAAGCATGAACTAGTGCACCATTCAGCAACAAACATGGAATAAACTACATGAAACTTAAGTGGTGGACAGATCAGTATTTTCCTACATTCAATTTTATTTTTTTCTAAATTGAAAGACTATTCAGTCCATCGTCTGAATCCAACTCAAACAGTGGTTCTGATTTGAGGGGACCCTAAAAGCAGTCTCAGGTATTAGATGTTCAGCATTTACAGCTTGTACATGAAGCCTCCTGGCAGTAACTTTACACTGAGATCTTTGAGAATTAGATTCTTTAAAGGAGGTTAGTGTGTCCATCAAGTCTCTAGATTTATTACCAGAGGAAGGTCTTACATGGGTCTAAAGAGGCAAAACAAAGGAAGAACAAAAAAAAAAATACATACACAACACTGATTATGTACACAAATACACATGGACAAATTGCAGCAACAGCCCAATGTCAGTCACATCAAACAGCTGTAGAACTGCTGTGGACTCTCAATTAGAAAATAATTATGACCTCAGTCTATCCAAGTGTGAAAACCTGGAGGTGTACTGTGAATGTGTTATTAGTGCGACTGCTTGACTAAAAATGACAATGTTCATGGACAGTGTTATTTATGGGGGTTTTAAGTATATCGCTGTGTCTCTTCGTGTACAGAGCAGAGATCTTCTATAGTGACAATATTCAGGATACAAATCAACCTGACCTTTGAATATGTCGGCTACATGTTAATTTGACTTTCAGGCAGTTGCTTTCCCTCAGTTGTTGGGCAATTACTTTGCTACCAGCTAACTAAAGTCAGAATGACAAGACAGTAAAATCTAGACAACAGTCAGCTGTGCTCGAGCAGTGAAGTCTGTGAGCACCTCCTCAGAACGGGGCATTATCAGCTGAATTTAAAATGATCCTGTGTCACGCACAATATGCTCATCCCATTGTTTCCAGATATTTGGCAGATCATAATCCATGTGTAAAATGGTGTGATGCACAGTTTACTCAGAGCAAATGAATACAATGCAGTCGCAGCCTCACTTGCAGTTTCATAACCATGCACAGTGACTGGCTTTTTCTGTCTTCAGGCCAGTGATAACTCTGTCATTAGATGTTGTCATTTCTGCATCAAATGTTTATATTTCAATTTTATGCCACAGGCTGGACAAAAGAAAAAAAACTGTCTAACATTTTGGGTGATTAACTTAACAGGTATCAATTTTTATTATCAAAAAAAAATATTATCAATTATACTCCACTAAACAAACGCAAAATCTCTTTTAGAGAGACTTGTGAGGATGATGATAAAGATTTAATATCTTAAACTGAAAGTTACACACTCAGTTCAACACCGCTTTTAGCTTGGCCAAGACATTTGTGCATTCATGTTGATTTTAACGTTGCATTGCACAAGTGCAAATAAATGAGTCATTTGATTTGCTGGCATGTCCCAAAACCAAGGTCGAAACCACTCGCTGCGTAACTCAAGCAAAAATAGAAAACACAGCAAATTGCTTTTACCAACATGACCCATTACCACAGATGCATTTCACTTAGGAGAAAAACCTCAGCAGACCGTGACAGACGATGAACCGAAGGCCGAGGAGACTCATTTATACAGTGTGATTTTGAAGTGCACAATAGGCCATATGGTTTCCAACAAAGATGCACCCCATTGCAAATCTCTTTGCAGATTTGTGTTTTAGAGTTTGATAATTAAAGGGACCGGTTAATGATTTATTTTTATTTATTTTATCGCTACATATAAGGTGTTTTTATAAGTTAAAAAACAGTCAAGGTGACAATAAGCCCAACATCATTAGCTTACTGGAGTGCAGTAAGTCTAAAACGAAATTATTCCCCAATGTTTAAGGTTACTCAGGCAAGCTTACAATACACTGGAGGAAACCCCAAACCATGACTAAAGGCATCAGCCTTCACTTTATTTCATGAATAATAACTACTGCCGGAGACGTCACAGGTTAACTTCGCTTGCTCTTGTGGACACTGCATATTTCAGGCACAGCATGTGAAAAACCAAGTTAGAGTCCATGATGATTTTTTTTTTAATCTCCACAAAGTTTCAAAACTAAGACTGACATGCAAAAAGCACATTCCAGTTATCCATCTCAGAATATTTCCCATTAATTTTTTACCTTGAATGTTTTAATTATTGCGCTTCAGCAATGATGCAAATGTATAAACTCACTTCCAGCACATTCGTAAATGATTAAACTTCTGAGGTTCACAAACTGTTAATTGATCACAGAGCACACAGGGTCAAATATAGAAGTCACCAGGATGACTAAGGTGGCGAATTTCACTGGCTGACTGTGCAGATCCAACCTCTCCCAGAGGGTGAGACTGCACTGAGCAGAGGCACCGCCCCTCACAGAAGGGAGAGGGGTTTGCTGGATGAGTGTAAAGTTTATTTACAGTTTAATCATCAAATATTGATCAATAAATTATTTTTTTAAAGCTTTGAGATATACATTTGCAGTCAAAGTTTAAATTCAGTTTAAACAACAGTTCTAAGGACCCTAAATAATACAGAGAAACACTGAAGATTTTGTTAAAGACGACCAGTAATCGACTGCGTCATTGCTTAGCTGTTTTTCAGCCAGGATTCTCAGCCTGTGTCGTTTGCTGTGCCGACTTTCCTGATGAGCTCTACTAGTTTTGTTCTAATAAACTCTTAATCATAAATGGAATTCAGCATGTCCTATTTTAACACTTTGCGCATCACTCTGTAATTATACCTCCAAAATGCTAGTTGGCAGAGTTACTGAAACTACTATTGTGACTGAAACAGAGGGGATGATGTGGGAGGTAAATTTAATGAATGCTGTACAACAGTTATTTTACTAAAAGAGAAGCTGCTGAACCAAATGAGCCCAAAAATGGTGGCAGAGATGCAAAACCCAGGAACCTGCAGATGGTTACAGTGGCCTATTAGTGGTTTTTGCATTAGCGTTATGAAGGAGCCCACAATAACAATAATAACAACAACAGCTTACTACAAATTATATTTTGTTCTGTTGCACAAAATCAGCTGCTACTTGTTAACATCCAGGTGTGCACGTTATTCTGCAGCATGAGCTGATATGACATAATGCACTCCGATGGAGTTAGGAGCATCACAACATCAACTTAAAC